AGTTCATCTCATTTTTGATGAATTTTAAAGAAAATGAGGAGATTCATTTTTAAAGTAAAATTTCCTACATTAGCTTTCACCACTATTGGGGGAATTTTTAAGTTAATATCTCTAACTCTTTAATCTCTATTTTCTTGGTGTTTTCACATAGTTATAATCTCTTCTTGAAATAAAATTTAAAAGTTCTATATTTTTTAAGTAAAAGGTTCTACTTTTGTTCTCGTATATTGGGCTTGATTCCCAAATAGTATTTTGTCTACTTAGTCTTTACAAAGTATTTGTACCTTCACAACATAACTATTAGATGGCTAGTCTGATTTTGGTTTTATTTCCAAATTTTTACCTGATATCTGTCATTATTTTTAGAAAATATATTCTAGTTTGCCTTCAGATTTTATACAAGTGGTAACCATTTTAAAAAGAATTTCTTGTTTTGTAGTATGTGCATTAATTAGGACTTCCAGTTACAAATATTAATTTGTAAGGCTGAAAAGGGGAATTTATTATAAGAGTACAGGGGCACCAAAGAACCCGAGGACAGGAATGGAGCTTGGCCTCCAGCTGGAATTAGAACTAAGAACCAGAAAGCTATCAGATTTCTTGCTGGCTTTCCTTCCTTCTTGCTAGTATCTACTACATATTTCCCTAAGCAGATCAGCCTTTCTGCTCTTCTGTCCAATGGTAAAATATAGCCACCCCTCTTCTCCAGCCAGTAGCATAGAATTATTGAAACCCCTTGTTCCCAATAGCTGGGTCACATGTCTACATTGCTCTAATCAGCTATTGCCTGGAAAGTAGTGGTCGTGCTCTTAGTATAAGAATTGCCCAGGCAGCTGAAAGAGCTGAACTAACTCTGGCCATCATGCCTTGAAAGATGTCACAGCCTGACCATTTGCTCATCTTTTTTGATGATTCCTTCAAGATTCCCAGAATCTTGCTCCACGAGTTATCCTGTTTATTTTCCTTAAGTCGTCGGTCTTTTATTTTTTTTTAATTGACATTTCCTGCTTCTTAAAGGCATGTGAATAAGAGCCTTTGAAATTGTTTTCTGCTTATGTCAGTGACTTCTGGAAATGGCCCTTAATAACTTAGTTATAAAATACTTAGTCATCCTCTTAACCAGTTCCCAGTAGATATCCTGGTAGATATCCTTATCTCTTTCCTTAGCTGTCATGTTATTGCACTATCCTGGTTTTCTTCCTACCTTTCTGGTCATGCTTTTGCTGACTTTACTTCTTTTTGCTTCCTAAATTTACAAATCCTTAAGATCATTTTCAGTTCTTTTGTATTTCCTCCCTTAATAATCTCAGCTATTTAGACTGTATTAGCTTTTACCTCCATAGGAGGAATTCTGTAAAGCAAATCTTATGTCAAGATATATAAATAACGTTCAACATCTCCATTTCCTTCCCCATCTTTGACTATATTTTTAGGCACTTTGTTTTTTTAAACTTTTTTTTTTTAACTAATTTCAGAGAGGAAGGGAGAGGGAGAGAGAGAGAAACATCAATGGTGAGAGAGAATCATTGATCGGCTGCCTCCTGTACACCCTCCACTGGGGATGGAGCTTGCAACCCAGGCATGTGCCCTGACTGGGAATTGAGCCGTGACCTCCTGCTTCATGGTGATGGGACAGTGTTGGCCTTTTTTATGGTCTTGCCAAGGGTATGGGAGGGCTTTCCCCTGGATGACAGCAAAGAAAGGGATCTCAGAGGCTTGGTTTCTATGTTAAAATGACAAATGTTTTTGGAGATATTCTTATTTTCTTTGCTTTGTTTACTTTTATAGTATTTGCAGAAATGTAAGGCTGTAGCAGAAATGAGCTTTACTCACTTATACATTGGTCTGTATAATAAGCTTGTGATTTAATTCCTCTTCCTATTACTAGCAAGCAGGGAGGGAGCAATGAAAGTGAATTGACATTTTCCCAGTTGATGGTAGAGAAAGTTTGGATCACCACATTGATTAAATTATAAGTGGACAGTGGAGGGAACAAATCATGAAATTTAAAGTATAGTCCAGGGAACACATGTGGCCAAGGGAAGTATACACCTTTTTTGGTTGTCTTTTGCTAAGACAACTTCGAGATACTGATTTGGGTTGTTTTCCTCATTTATGTAGCCCAGTACATGAAGCTAACCAATAGTATGTATGGTTGTGTCTTTCTAGGATTCCAGAATGGCAGGTATCAAGCTTGTATACATGTGTATAGGTGTACATGCCTGAACACAAAATATTAGGAATATATACTACTACAAATAGAAATGGCTAATAGTCTGTACAGTATTCCCCCCTTATCCGTGTGGGATACGTTCCAAGACCCCAATGGGTGCCTGAAGCCTTGGATAGTACCAAACCCTATATATATATACACTATGTTTTTTTTCCTATGCATACATACCTGTGATAAAGTATAATTTGTAAAGTAGGCACACTAAAAGATTAACAACAATAACTAATAGTAAAATAGAACAATTGTAAGAATATACTGTAATAAAAGTTATGTGAATGTGGTCTCTATCTTATTGTACTGTACTCACCTTTCTTGTGATGCTGTAAGATTATGATACAATGCCTATGTAGCTAGATGAAGTGAGGTGAATGATGTAGGTATTGTAACGTAGCATTAGACTATTATAAGGGTGACTTGAACACAAGCACTACGATGCTGTGAGAATCAATCTGATAACCTAGATGTTTACTAAGTGACTGGAGGGCGGTAGCTGACTAAGTGACTGGAGGGAGATGCTGGACAAAGGGATGAGTCACATCCCAAGCGGAAGGGAACAGGATGGCAAGAGATTTTCATCATGTTACTTAGAATGGCCCGCTATTTAAAACTTATAAATTGTTTATTTCTGGAATTTTTTATTTAATATTTTTGGACTGCAATTGACTGAGGGTAATCACCACGGGTAGCTGAAACTCTGGAAAAGCAAAACTGCAGATGGGGGCAGGGGAGAGGGGGTGGTGCTGCTGTATACTGTGATTTTCAAGTCAATAAGAATAAATAAATTTTTCCCTAAAAGGAAAAAAAAAATGGACTAATGCAACAAAAAAAGACATATTTGAAATGAACAATAAGCAAGAAAACAAACTTCAATAGTAATTTTTAAAATGCCAATAAAATACCCATAGTACATATTTTCCTCATCAAATTGTCAACAAAAACTATATAATATCCACTGTTGAGGGGAATTTGTATATAGGCTCACACTGCGTCATAGGTTGTGCTTCTCCAGGAGATTTCATCATGCTACTCAGAATGGTCCACAATTTAAAACTTAGTAATTGTTTATTTTGGGAATTTTTATTTAATATTTTCGGATTGCAGTTGACCGTGGGTAACTAAAACTGTAGAAAGCAAAACAGAAAAGGGGAACTACTATATTTCTGTTTTCAAAGAGATTATCCAAACAATAATGAATTTCTAATTGTTAGAATTTGGTAGGGAATAAGAGAAGTTTGGGGGAAAGGGAAGGCACCCCAGGAACCTGCAGTGAATAGTGAATGCCATATTATTCTGCCAAGGCATAAGGTTGGCCTTGCCTTATTTGCCCCAGTCCTCCCTTCTTTCCCCACTTCTTTGTGCCTCTGTCTATAGATTTTTCCTCTCATATCTATATATTCCTTTCCTTCCATTCATCAATTCATAGCAAGTGTTATAAGGAATTGAACCTCGTGGACACGATTTTCTTAAAAAAATATTTTAAATGAAATTTTCTCCTCAACTAAAATATCACTTTATTTTTTAAAATTAAATTTATTGGGGTGACATTGGTTAATAAGATTATGTAGGTTTTAAGTATACATATGTATGATACATGATCTGTATATTACACTGTGTGCCCATCACCCAAAGTCAATTCACCTTTCATTACCATATCTTGGCTCCCTTTTACCCTTTACTACCCTTCCACCCCCCCTTTCCTCTGGTAACCACCATACTGTTGTCTGTGTCTATGAGTTTCAGTTTTATATCTCAAATATGAGTGAAATCATATGGTTGTTAGCTTTTTCTGACTGACTTATTTTGCTTAGCATAATATTCTCAAGGTCCGTCCATGTTGTCACAAATGCAGTATTGTATCTTTTCTCATGGCTGGGTAGTATTGTATGGTATATATGTACCATATTGTCTTTATCCAATCATCTATCAAAGGACACTTTCATTGTTTCCATGTCTAGGTCACTGTGAATAGTGCTGCATTGAACATAGGGGTGCATATGTCTTTTCGAATAAATGTTTTTAAGTATTTTCAGGTTGATACCCAGAAGAGGGATTGTTGGGTATTATGGTAACTCAGTTCTTAATTTTTTGAAGAACCGTTACACTGTTTTCTGTAGTGGCTGTGCTAGCTTACTTTCCCACCAGCAGTGACGATAGTTCCTTTTTACCCACAACCTCGCCAACACTTGTTATTACTTGTCTTGTTAATAGCCATTCTAACAGGTATGAGGTATTTCATTGTAATTTTGATTTGCATTTCCCTAATAGCTAGTGAAGTTGAGCTTTCATTTATCTGTTGGCCATTTGTATATCTTGGAAGAAGTGTCTGTTCAGGTCCTTTGCCCATTTTTTAGTTGGATAGTTTGTTTGATGTAGAGTCTGATGAGTCCTTTATATATTTTGGATATTAACCCCTTATCAGAGCTGTTGTTTGAAAATATCGTCTCCCACTGAATCAGTTGTCCTTTTGTTTTGTTGGCATTTTCTTTTGCTGTGCAGAAGCTTTTTAGTTTGTTATAGTCTCATTCATTTATATTTGCTGTTATTTCCCTTGCCTTTGGGGTCAAATTCATAAAATCTTCCGTAAGACCAAGGTCCATGAGTTTAGTACCTATGTTTTCTTATATGTAATTTATTGTTTCAGATCTTATATTTAGGTCTTTGGCCCATTTTGAATTAATTTTTGTACATGGGGACAAGCTGTAGTTTAGTTTCATTCTTTTGCATGTGGCTTTCCAATTATCCCAGCACCAGAGGATTTCTTATGGCGTTCCCACACCGGGAGTCGAACCCGGGCCACCTGGGTGAAAACCAGGAATCCTAACCGCTAGACAGTGTGGGTCAGAGGATTTCTTTTCTCCATTGTGTGTTTTTGGCTCCTTTATCAAAAATTATTTTCCTATATATATATACTAGAGGCCTGTTGCACGAAGATTCGCGCAATAGGCCTTCCTTCCCCTGGCTGCCGGCCCTGGTTTTCCTCCGGCACCCGGGACCCAGGCCTTTGGTCCGGCCGCAGCAGCAAGGCTTGGCTTCTCCGCTTCAGCCACAGCAGCGAAGCTAGGCTTCTCTGCTCCGGCCACAGCGAGGCTTGGCTTCTCTGCTCCAGCTGCAGCGGAGAAGCCAAGCCTCTTCAGTCTTCATCAGTCTCTGCTCCGCGCCCACATATGCAAATTAACCACCATCTTTGTTGGGTTAATTTGCATACTCATCCTGATTGGCTGGTGGGCATAGCAGAGTGACACCAATTTGCATGTTTCTCTTTTATTAGTGTAGATGTGATTTTATTTCTGGGTTCTCAATTCTGTTCCATTGGTCTGTGTCTTCTTTTTTTTTTGTCAATCCTAACCTGAGGATATTTTTTCCATTGCTTTTTGGAGAGAGTGGAAGGGAGGAGGGGGAGAGAGAGAAATATCAATGTAAGAATGACACATTGATTGGTTGCCTCTCTCACTCGCCACGACTGGGGCCAGGAATTGAATCTGCAAACCCAGGTATGTGCCCTTGACTGGGAATCGAACCTGAAACCATTTAATGAGCAGGCCAATGCTCTCACCACTGCTCTGTCCAGGGTTGTGTGTGTCTGTTTTTCTACCAATACCATGCTGTTTTGATTATCCTTGCTCTGTAGTATAATTTGAAGTCAGGTAGTGTGATATTTCTAGCTTTGTTCTTTTCTCTCAGATTGCTTTGGCTATTCAGGGTCTTTTGTGGTTCCATACAAATCTATTTATTTTTTGTTCTATTTATTTAAAAAATGACAACGAAATATCACATGATCTCACTCATATGTGGAATCTAAGTAACAAAATAAGCTGATGAACGGAGTGGATCCAGAGACATGGAACAGAGTGTGGAATCTTGGAGGGGAGGCTGGGGAGGGCATGTGGGTGGGAGGTAATCAACCAAAGACCTTTATGCATATATGCATAACCCATGGACAGAGACAATATGGTGGTGAAGGCAAGGGGCAAGGGTGGGCTGGAGGTGGTCTGTGGGAGGAAAAAAGGGAAAAGGGGACATATGTAATAATTTCAACAATAAAGAATTATTTTAAAAAATAAATAATAAATGACAACGGATTTTGATGGGGATTTTATTAAATCTGTATATTGCTTTGGGTAATGTGGACATTTTAATTATGTTAATTCTTCCAATCCATGAACATGGAATATCTTTCCATTTCATTGTCTCTTTTTCAATCTCTCTTAATAATGCTTTGTAGTTTTCAGTATATAGGTCCTTCACATCCTTTGTTAAGTTTATACCTAGATATTTTATTCTTTTGGTTGCAATTGCAAAAGGAATTGTTGTTTTTGTTTTTTCATTTCTTTTTCTGAAATTTTATTGTTAGTATATAGGAATGCAGTGGATTTTTGTACATTGATTTTATATCCTGTAACTTTACTGTATGTATTTGTTTATTGTTTCTTATAGTTTTCTGATGGAATCTTTAGAGTTTTCTATATATAGAATCATGTCATCTGCAAAAAGTGACACTTTTACTTTTTCCTTCCAATTTGGATCCCTTTTATTTCTTTATCTTTTCTTAATTGTTCTGGTTAGGACTTCCAGAAGTATGTTTAATAATAGTAGTGAGAGTGGACATTCTTGTCTTATTTCTGATTTTGGAGGAAAAGCTTTCAGTTTTTTACCATTGAGTATGATATTGGCTGAGGGTTTATCATATAAGACCTTTATATGTTGAGGTTCTTACCTTCCATACCCATTTTATTGAGTGTTTTAATCATAAATGGATGTTGTATCTTATCAAATGCCTTTTCTGCATTTGTTGATAAGATAGGATTTTTATCCTTTGTTAATGTGCTGTATTACATTGATTTTGGACACAATTTTTGACCCTTGAATTCAGGCTTTAAAAAGTTTCTTCAAAGTGTATGTTGAAGCTGACTCATTCTTAATGGAATTCTGTTATTTAAAGAAAAGTGTTGTGATTGCTAAGAAGCCCAACAATGGGTTTTATAACAAATCATTATGGAATTTCTGTATATGTGTAAAAGAAAGAATTGTGTTTTTAAAAACACAATTAAAAACTGGGAACAGAGAGAAACCGCACTGTGATTCAAGGGCTCAGCAGCATATTTGCTTCAGGTTTAGAGTTGCAGTAATCATACTTACTTAGTTCATGGTATTTGTCTATGAACAAATGGGAGGCCTTGCTTTTATTTTCCTCCTCTGATTCCTTATCATTCCATTTTCCCCCTCCCATGGGCACCTATGAATATTCTTGAATATATGTCTATTCTTTTGTAAAATATTCAGTGTTATTCAGTGTGTATATTTTTAATTTATTTAAACTGGTATTATGCTGTTGATCTTTTTGTTTCTCCTTTTGTGTTCACCACTGTTTAAATAATCTCTTCTCGTTTCTGTATGTATATCTACCTCAGAGCTTCAAAGTATTTTTTGCATACTATGATTGCTGTATAGTATTTCACGATATTTACTTACCACTTACTCATTTCTTTGTGATGCCTCCAACTATTCTACAAACAGTGCTCCAGTGCAATGGTCACCAACCAGTGGTCTCCAGATCACTGGTGGTCCGTGAGGTCCAAAAGGTTGGCAACCGCTGCTCCAGAGAATGTATCAGATATGTTCCCTTGTAGAACTGTGTGTGAATTTGTCCCAAATATATACCTAGAGTAGTATAGTTGGGTCATAGAAATGGCATTTCCTATGAAAACTTAGCACATGATTGTTCTGTAGAGCAGCTTACTAGAAATGCATGTGGATTCCTTTCTCCATGTTCTTGAGAACAACTTTCTATGTTGTAATCTTATTGTTAATCTATCTTATACTATAACATTAGAAAAAATAAGAAAGTTGATTAACAATTTATTATATAGAAGGGTCAAATTTTTATTATGGCAACTAGAGTTTTAAAACTTACAGTGGAAATATTGAGGGAAGATTGAAGTACATGTTGAAATTCAAAGTGTTGCATGATAATGTCCAGGTTTTGCAAGAAGTCTTACTGTCTAGAGCATCCGTGGGCAAACTACGGCCCGCAGGCTGGATCCGGCCCATTTGAAATGAATAAAACTAAAAAAAAAAAAAAAAAAGACCGTACCCTTTTATGTAATGATGTTTACTTTGAATTTATATTAGTTCACACAAACACTCCATCCATGCTTTTGTTCCATCCCTTCGGTCCAGTTTAAGAACCCATTGTGGCCCTTGAGTCAAAAAGTTTGCCCACCCCTGGTCTAGAGGGTAGGTATATTATCTTGTTTACTTGTCCAGAAACTTGATCTTGTCATGGTCTATTGTCAATCATATTTACGTAGTCTGACTCATGTTAACTATCCTCACTAGTTACCAGTTAATTAGAATGCCAGTAGACTAATTCATGATGAGAAAGTAAAATGCCAAGCCTCCTGGCCATTTCATTGGCCAGTTTTTCTCTGCAGGGAATTAAGTATAATTAGAAGAGATAGCTTGGTGAGTTTTAATCAGGGCAAGAGGAAATATTCTATGATCTAGGTGATTAATGGTGTCAGGCTATCAAAGCCTAATGGCATTTATCTATTTTCTAACTCAGATGTTTTAACAATGTTGGAACCATGAGATTTGTAGCTGTGTTAATTATGACATGATAATCTATCCATGACTTCTATTTGATTTTTTCTGGTCTTTATTATAAAGGGGTTTCTTTTATAATACACATAAATTCTTGAACTTATAAGTAAGCTATTTAGATTAACTAAATTATTTTAAAGATAATTAGTTGCACTGTTAGAATGAGGCAGTAAACATTGTAATTAGTTTTATAGGGATTTTGCTATTGACTTTTTAGAATTAATTTTGTAGGATATGTAGACTAGATATGAATATGGTTTTAAATCTATTTTAAAGCATATACATTTCAAATTAAATTTAGACTTAAACAGTATTCTATAGTTTTCTCCCCTCATAGAACCTTTATATTTCTAATGAGAACTCAGCTTCAATTAAAAAAAAAGCCAGTAGAAATGATTATTTTATTTATAGGATTTTTTGTAGCAAATCATTTCAGAGATATATCTGTTTATCTTGGTATCTTTCTCATCACTTTTTTTGTCACTTCACTTTTATGATTTTTTTAGGTTATCTGGATCTCAAAATAATTAAGCACATACACAGTTAAAAAGGATTTTAATTAGCACAGAAATCCTTGAAATGTTTTTTTATTTTTAAGTTTATTTTTCAAAATATATTTTTATTGATTTCAGAGAGAGGAAGGGAGAAGGATAGAGAGATAGAAACAACGATGAAACATCACCAGTCAGCTACCTCCTGCACGCTCCCTACTGGAGATCCAGCCTGCAATCAGGCATATACCCTGACCAGGAATCAAACCATGATCTCCTGGTTCGAGGGTCTATATTCAACCACTGAACCACATCGGCCAGTCTGTTTTTTAATTTTTAACTTAAACATATTGTACTACATATGGAATTAATTTGAATTTAACTGATACTGAGCGTGGCTAGTTAGAAATCCAGCTTTGGGGCTTAAGTTTTATACTTCAGTTTTTATTTTTCTAAAGCTCTAAGATTATATGGCATTTTCTTATTTAAATTGGAAAAGATAGGTGAAAATTTGGTTTTCATTTGAACTGAGTGGTGAAGTGTCTTTTATTAGAATTTTGATTATTGGAATTACATTGGGGGGATTCCTTAAGTTATTAGCTAATTGAAGTTTTTATTGCTAATCCAAAATAAAACTAGATTAAAGCATATTTTAATGAAAAATGTTATGACTAGAAATAGTAATGTGTAAATAAGTTATGCATTTTTATCAGAATTCTTGTAGTTTATTATTAGAGGAATAATAATT